AATTACACAAGAAATTTAAAAAAATAAATAAATGACAGCAGTGCATTAAAAATGGAGATAAAATCCTTCAGTTATATGCACAGGCAAACAGAACAGTCTTTAACCTGGATTTGAACATTGACAGAGTAGACGCCTCCCTCACATTTTCAGGGAGATTGTTCCAGATCTTAGCTGCATGGATCTGAAACGCAGCCTCCCCATGTTTGGTTCTCACTCTGGGCACCAGCAGGAGGCCAGTCCCTGTGCTCCTCAGAGTCCGGGCCGGTTCATATGACACCAACATGTCACTAATGTATTCTGGTGCAAGGCCATGGAGAGACTTGTACACAAGCAGAGCCGTTTTAAAATCTATTCTTTGAGCCACAGGAAGCCAGTGCAGAGACCTGAGGACCGGACTAATATGGTCATACTTCCTGGTTCCTGTCAGGACTCTAGCTGCTGCATTTTGGATGTACTGCAGCTGCTTACAGGTCTGTTTGGACAGACCTGTAAGCAGGCCATTGCAGTAGTCTAGCCTGCTGGAGACAAATGCATGGACAAGAATCTCCAAGTCTGCCCTGGACACTATATTTCTAACTTTGGCAATGTTCTTCAGATGGTAAAAAGCTGTTGATGTTATTGATTTTATGTGGCTATTGAAATTTAGGTCTGAGTCCAGTATTACCCCCAAATTTCTGACCTTGTCTGAAGGAAGTAGGGAGAGAGACTGAAGTTGACAAATGACGCCCTCTCTTTGTTTCTGGGGACCAAAGACAATGATTTCGGTTTTGTCTGCATTTAGCTGGAGGAAATTATTTTGCATCCAGTCACTGATCTGTTGGATACAGTGAAGGAGCAAATCCAGTGGTCCATGTTCTCCTGCAGTCAGTGAGACATAGATCTGAGTGTCGTCAGCGTAATTGTGGTAGGACACTTTGTTTCTTTGTATTAACTGACCTAACGGCAGCATGTAGAGATTAAATAGGAGAGGTCCCAGGATCGACCCCTGTGGTACACCACAGGTCAGGGCCACATCATCTGAGACGCAGTCTCCAATCTCCACAGAGTACTTCCTATCCTCCAGGTAAGACCTAAACCAGTCTAGGGCTGTGCCAGTGACACCAACCCAGTCCTCCAGTCTCTGCATGAGGATCTCATGGTCGACAGTGTCGAACGCGGCACTAAGATCTAACATGACCAAAACTGTGACTTTACCTGCATCAGTGTGAAGTCGAATGTCGTTTGTTACCTTCACTAGAGCGGTCTCAGTGCTGTGGTGGGGTCTAAACCCAGACTGGAACATATCAAAAGAATTATTCATTGTTAAAAATTCAGTAAGTTGTTGGGAGGCCACTTTTTCAAGAATTTTTCCAATAAATGGCAGATTCGATATGGGGCGATAATTTTGAAGAATAAGATCTAAGTTAGTAATCTTGCCCTAGCCTTCACTGGAACAGCATGTACCCACCAGCACTGCATCCAACAGAAGAGGGAGGATCAGTCGGTATCACGATAATTAAGGCAATGGCGTTTTTACCCTCCTCAAGACATATACATAGTTGGTTGAGTGGTCTGATTTGCTTGTCCTCATGTCTGTTATTCCATTTCAGAGCCCACAAATGAATACTGCTTTTGTGTCCTTGTGCACGACACTTATCGTAGTGTCTACATCTGCATACGCAAGGATCTTTGTGAATTGGGAAAATCGTTTGTTGGTCTAAATCACTTTGAGCCTCTGGAAGATAAATACAGTTTGTGACACAGTAGACAACGCTAAAAACTGACCAAATATGTTGTTATTGTGGAGACTGATGAAAGATACAGCACCGCTTTCTTTCTATACAACTCCTCCTTATAAGAGGTTCAATATGACTGTTAACAAAAGAGAATTATTGTACAAGATCAATATGCAAAATCCTCACTAAGCCCCATGTTGAAACTAATCCTGAGAATTGGTCACTTCTTCAAAACAATCAAAAAATTTAAGTTTGTTTACTTCTGTTCCTAATTCTATTTTAAAACACCAGTTGGAGCAAATATATATATACGAAGGAAGAAGTACCTCCATAGATTGAAGAATCATTAAAGACAAATATATCTGTCGCTCTTCAGATTGAATTTACTTCCGTTAGCCATGCTGTTTGAGAACTCTAATTAATAATGCACTTGTCCGGAAAACTTAATTAATTACAGAATGAGTCAAATGAATTGGCATGCAAACAAATGTATTTGTTAGCTTTATGTGGATGTGTTACAGATGTAGAACAGCAGATGGTATTTTACCATGTTTACGGAGGCCAGAGTCTTTGTAAATATTCATATTGTATCTTCTGAAATATGATATGGTAAATACTATTTTTAATACGGTAGAAATAGTTAATTTGCTGTAAAGGCTTTTTTTTATTGTAGGGAAATACAGCGTTTTGAAGTTTGATCCCGTTATTTTGGCTTCAATATCTGCTAAAGATATAATTTTTTTCCCACCGAATCTCAACAAATCGGCCCAATTGGGTTTTACGTTAACTGTTGGTCCGGGAAGTGACGGCGGAAACTTAAACCAAAACTTAAACCTCACGTAAATGACATTCTGGACTAATATCAGCCTGTAAAGCAGGGGTGTCAAACCAGTCCTCAAGGGGGCGGTGTGGCTGCGGGTTTTTGATACTAACCAAGCAGGTGCGCATCCAACTCCAGCTATTTCCTCAGTGCAGTTTGACACCCCTGTTGCAGTACTCAAGACACTGACTGAACCATTGTCATCAAACTATGAAATATCGGCACCATGTTTATTTTATTCTTTTACGGTTATATTCACCCATGTATAGTTTGGTGGACAGTGAACATAGAATTTAGATGTTAAATGAATAGTGATTGTAGGAGCAACGTATACTGTTCTAACACATTCCTGCATACATACATGCAGTTGTCTGGTATAATTATCAACAGCCCACTCTGAGTCATAGGTTGTATGCCGGTCTTCATTAGTGGATATGGGTTTGTCATGTGCAGTGCTGCTCTGGTCCCTATAGCTCTGCTTGTGCCACTGACACTTCTCCTTAATGAGGGCCAAACATCTACGGCCTTCTCTATCTGAGTAATCACCTCACGCACTAAAATCCCTACAACGCCAATTAAACAGGCATGGGGCAAACACAAACAATAGAGACTTTATAATTAATACATAAAATAACAGTTATAGGTATTATCCTTATGTTGTAGTGTAGTGACCTCTCTGGGTTTCCAACTTTGTATGAGAGCAAAGACAGAGCAGAAGCAGAGGAGAGTTTCACCTTTGATTTCACGGTTCTGGGTTGCCCTTTCCTGACCATTACACCTACACGCACACACCTTCATCCCAACACAGCCAGCAATCTTTCTTTCATGGTGTTGCATCATAAAGAAAAACAACAGGTTGAGCAAGCAGCCTAGGACCTAGGTATGGCTGGTAAGCTCTGTTTTTTATGTGCGACAGAGATCAAATATTTTAAGCTCATTTCCCTCGCATGCTGAGCCAAACTAAGTAAACGCTACTGGACGTATCTGGGTTTCTTTTGTTACTTTCGGCCACTCAACTCCGCTGTCAGTTAAAATTACTCTCCACACAGTTGCGTTTATTCAGGACAGGTATTGTTATTTTTGTAAATGTGACTGGAGCGCAGCTGTTTACGTGTAGATGCTCGTCATGTCCCTGCATCGCTACACACGATCAGCGCCTCGTCCATTCATACCCTCTACCACGTCTTATCGCTCCCTTCTGCCTCTATAGTGCCCCCCTTTATTAGTCTGCGCCTACGTAGGGGTGCTATCTTTACACATACACACACAATGTTCAGTATCTCGCCCCTGTTTTTTTTCTCCCTGACACTTGGTACACTCTTATCTTTTTGTACCCCTACTACTCTGTGGCACTGGTTTGCTCACAGTCCATCTCGTCCTCCGGTCTCTCTCTCTTTCTCTCTCTCTCTCTCTCTCTCTCTCTCACTATTTCTCTCTCTTCTGGGTGATTGAGGATGTTGGTAGCATCCGTTTCAGTCAGCAGTGACACTGCAGTCTCGCTACATCTTTAAATGGCATTGGTGTAGTGGTAGATATGTGCGGACAACACACATGAAACAAAAACAAAACATTCACATTGTATGAATCACAGGTCATAGATCAGGCAGTGTTCTATAGAGACATGTGCAAAATTCTACTAATAACAATTATAAACAAAAATGCAAAAACACCACAAATCAAAGGACTGTACCAGGCTAAATCATATATGATGTAACTTTGAAGGATATTGACTTTGATCGTTGTTTCTACTTTCCCTCAGCAACCACAGGGTAAACAGCATCATACGACACAGTTTCTCTTCAAAGCACTACGCAGTAAAACACATGATTTCAAATTCCTATCAAAGCGACAAAAGCACAACCGAAATAACCTCTGAACAAACTTGAGCGACAATGTTGTATTTACGTGTTGTCTCTATGAAATGCCTTTCTCGTTCAGTTATCATACATGTGTTATTTCAGATAATAGATTAAAGTTCAGGCAGATGTTATATATTTGGACTTGCATGCGGGTGAGAATGTAGATAAAGGCTTGATTCAATGAAAACAGTTGAAAATCACACGCTGTCCTGTTTTGAAGCATGCAAATACACAAGCTGGACACACGCCCCCTTCCCCTTCACTACCACTGCTACTCCACATGTCTTACCTACAAGTGAGAAAGGAAGCAAAATTACCTGTGTTAGACGGAGGTCCTCAGCGTCGTAGTTCCTTTGGACCCCCTTGTGGATAGCTTCAGAGTGCGTCCAGGGCTCTGTGGCTGAGCGCGTTACCGGAGAAGCTCAATCCTTGTACCCTGCGATGCTGAAAATGGCACCAGCATTTCTCCTGACAGCAGCAGCAGCCTCCCTCTCTCTCCTCTAGCTCTCTTCGCTCCTCTGCCTGTCTGCTGCCATGTTGAGTGCACGCCGGGTGAGGGGTGGGCTGCGGGGTTGCAAGGAGGGACTCGGGGGAATAAGAAAGCAATTAGATGACAACCTCTCTTCCTTCCAGTCGGGGGGGAATGTATAACGGAATTAGCCGGGAGAGGGGGCACCGAGTGGGCATGGAGGGGGACAGGGCCACTGCTGCAAAGTCAGGTGATATTAGAGTAAGGATCTGTCAAAAACAAAGGCAAAAAGCACAACATGAAAAGGCTATAGAAATATAAACGAAGAATAAAGATGCACTGTATATAAGGTACGTAAGTTCACTGAATTACGTAACAGCGACAGAAAATAAGTTGATCGCTGTTGATCAGAAACATGCATAGTGCTTTCAAAAAGTATGGGTGCTTGAATATTTGTAGACCAGACCAAGACCAATTCCAATCCCAAAAAAAATGGATTAAAATATTACACTGTAAATTATATTTGGTGATTTATATTATAATCTTGAATATTAGGTTTTCTAGATTATAATTTGACCAAGTGTCCTTGTGCAGTCTAGCAGCCTGTCTGCCAGTGTGGCTGAGAGAGAGACAGCAGATGGGGGTGGTGCTGGAGTCGAGTGATTGCCATTGCCACGGCTCTGTGTGCGTGTGTGTGCGTCTGTGTGTGTGTGTGTGTGTGTGTGTCTGTGTGTGTGTGTGTGCGTATGCCTGGATATAATTATTACATTGTGGGGACTAAAATTTGTATACACTCAAATCTTGGGGATCTGCCTTCCTTGTGGGCATAACATATGGGTTTAAATAAGTTCTAGTCTAGGTTTAGGTTCAGCAACTATGATGAGAGGTTTCCCATAAACGAATATACGTCAATATAATGCCCTTATGAAGCGTGGTGTGTGCGTGTGGCGACGTATGGGAGGATTGTGTGTTGTGGGACCACCTGCTCTTACCTCTGGAGGGAGAGAGGGCAGGAGCAGCTTCAAAGCTCTTCTTGTCTCAGGTTTGCACCCCCCCTCCCTTCTTACTGAGTGGGTGGTGTGGAAGCGCATGTGTGTCTGGGAATTGTGTGTGCGCGCGTATGTGTGTACGGTAAAAACGTAACCTGCTATTTCCGATGTGCAGTCTCTCATGCGTGTTTTGGTGTTTTATATGTATGAGAAACAGGATTCTAAGCATCAGCGAAATACAGGCAACGTGCCATTGCAATCGAATATTACATTTTGTCAAGATAGTGCCGTTGAATCCACAAAACATATTCCAATCATCAGAGACATGCGTTATAGCCACAGGAAGACATGGCTTGTAACTCCACATAGTTGAATATTCTCAGATGCTGCGTTTACAAACCCACAGTTTAAAAACCATGGCATAGAATCAAACAGTTGAGATGCAAAGAATATTTCTGTTTATAAGTGAAGTCGAGCTTGTCCTTATGTAAAACTGCAGGGCTGAGCTGTCTGAGGCTGTCGCTGGATGTGTGTGGTACAAGGCGTGTCTGTGCGAGTGTGTCAGTGATGTGCTATGAATGAAAATAAGAAGTAAGAGGAGGGAGGGGGGGAGGAGGGGGAGGGCTCGGCTTCTCCTCCCACCGTCTCCCCGAGCCACGTCCGAGCATCTTGCATCCCCACATCAAAAAATCACCATCTTTCCACCCTCCTCTCACACTTGTCACAACAGGGCACTTTGGTCGTTTGGGCTCCGTCCGCATGCATCCAAGGGTGATTCATTGAGCTTACGAGCGGCGCCGCTGTCCTCTCCTCCCCATCGCGCATAATGTGACTCGCGCAATTACGCTGCCGACCCGTGATGGCTCCTAGCACGGCGACACACACACAAAGGACAAACGAAAAGAAAAGAGCAAAGCGTGACATTTTCGCACTTTGAAAGAAATCCGCAAGCAATCAGGCACATGCGCACGAACTCACGCACGCACACAGCGGTTCAAGGGCGATTGATTTGGGGTTTAATTTCTCTCGCTGAGGCTTTGGATGCGGCTCGGTCTGACCTTGACGACAGACGGGGGGGAGTTCTGTCTCTGCCGCCAGCCTCCGGGGCATCAGCCAGGCAGTGGAGGGTTCAAAAATATAACCGAGCAAGCATCTTTGCCTGGACTTTCAGAAGCAAACGTCTATGATTCGTTTCTAATTATAGCCAAGCAGAAGTCAGAATAGTCCTAAATTTAGCATAAGCGGGTAATAAAACGGTTGTTAAATAATTGATGAGATCAGATTTAGCGTTTTCTTCCTGCTCCTTTATGTTTGAGGTTGCTCTCAGCTTTGAAATATTTGTTTTGATGCCCGGTATAAGCGGGTTTATTCTCTATGTGTTGGAAAGCCTTAGGACTTTAAATGGGACTAAATTGACATAGATAGAAACGGAAGGCCCCAACGTCTTGTATTGAAACCTCATGAATTCTTTTTGAAGTTATTAATACCCTTTAGGTTCCGCTAATTATCGCCCATCCTTGACTAGTGTGTTTAAATGTATTCCGTTCCAAATTAAAAGATCAATCAAAAAATATAGGGCAAGTCTCTGTAGCAAAAAAATGTCCCCCTTTTATGTTCAAAACCAACGCGGCTAATATCTCAAACGCACCAACTCGACAACGTTTGCTTTACTCAAACACGTAACTGCTAATTTTCTATCATTTTGAGCTTCTGTAAATGCTACAGCAATCGGCGAGACCCAATTTAGAGCAGCTTCGCTTGTTGTGGATGGGTTAATCGTTCCAGGGAGCGATACTTGCAGGGATGTGTTTGTTTGATCAATGAAGATCTGAGTGAAGCGTGAGTTTGCCTCCAGCGCTCACATCAAGCGAGGTGGACACGGGTTATAAACAGCCAAGCTTTCAAGTATCGTCTGCAAATGTTCCCATCCTCTTTGCTACATATAGCTTATAGGTATTAAACTAGTGAGCATTCAAATTTGTGCTTGAAAGAAAACCCCGTTAGATTTGCAGTAGTCTGTTACAGGGGTCGATTATAATGAGTGAGAACGTGAGATCATAAAAGCTGATTTAGCTTTAATTATACAGTATGCAGGCCTGTTAATAATTCATAAGTATAAATCTGAAATTGGAAGCGTTGGGGTCAGGGTCGCATGCACACACACACACACAGACACTGCACACACACACATGCAGACACTGCACACACACCTTTAGATCAATGGGGGGCGGGCCGCACACTGTTGCCATAGAAACGGGAGGACAGTGGTGTTGGATTCTGTTACCGGGCAGGAGAGGGGTGGTCCGCTGTGGAAGATAAACAACATCAACATAGGCCGATGTTTATGACAACACAGCGTGAGGTGATTTAGTGAACAGTTAGAGGTGTCTTACGGAGATTATCGGACGGCGGGTCCAGCACCTGTTTGTCTCATTGAAAAACAGTTTTTCCAGGTCAGAAACATCCTGCAATATGGTTCAAACCATATTGCCATGGGTTTTGAATGAATTTCTTTGTTTTACAACTTGGTTCCATACAAATTAAGTTTTGTGTAACATTTCATCGATGTTAATGTTAAACCTGGGGTACCTAACTTTCAAACACAATAATGGAACTATGTAATAACATCTTTATACCTAGTTCCTAGCTAAAGAGGTTTGGTTCTATCACTTGTTTTCACTTGCAAGCATTGTTGGTCATCTTTGTATACGCTTTTTCAAACCAGAAAAGTGAAAAAAGAGGACCACCATCATTTAGCCTCTCAGCTCTCAGCCCAAAACGTCAATTAGTGACTCACAGGGCTCTTTCTTACAAGTATAAAGAGATCACAGGTTTTGTAATTTGATAAAGGAAGTATGTTATGGTATGTTTTGTTCACAACATGCTTTTACAATACTGTTGTTGCTAGGACAAATAACATGTAATTAGGTAACTCAGCTTTAATGTTCCCTTTTTTGTTCTTTAAAGCACTTTGAATTTCCTTGGGTCCAAATTGTGTTAGGCTTTACAAATACACTTACCATTTACCTTCCCATAAAACTAAACACTGCACTGATAAGAATGAGAAGAAGAATATCTCGAGATATATATTTTTAGATTGTTATGAAACCGTCAGACCAGCGTGTATTTTTGCTATTAATTGGATTCCAAGTTGTAGTGCGCCTCCTGGTGGAGCTCACCTAGAAGTGCATCAATAAAAAGAATGGCTGAGCGTGGCGTGTATTCTATGCGGGGTTTTATTAATGTGTTATTACCCGTGTATCTAGGTTATGACCATAGAGTGTGACATATACTTTCTAAGGTCTATGGTTTTAGGCCATGGATTACAGTCATGGCCTAAAAGTCATTTACTCATTCCAGTCCGTGAAGATGATAGATGCTAACGTGTTTTGTTGTGTTAGCAAGATATTATCTTCATGACTGTTGTTTCACTACAGCCACGTTTTTGAATCAGATGTTATGTTTTATTTAGAGTATTTCAAAGATCATTACTAATGTATTAATATTTACAGTCTATGAGAATTACCTACATTCACGTCAAAGATGAACTTTCCTCGTGGTTCAGAAAGAGCCAGAAAGTGGGCGTGTCTGTGCGCGTGCAGCTGTCACCTGACATCTGATTAAGATGTAAGCGAATAACGTCTAGAAATGAAAGGCAATGAATAATTAATGCACATGAATTTGTAAATATTAGACTTTTTTATACGTTCTTTCCTGACGCTTGACCATAGACTGACTACTCATAGACATACAGTATTTACATGGTTTGTGCGCCATCTAGTGGGAAATGATTTGATTTCCTCTCCATTGTGGCCTATAAAATGATAAATAAGAAATGTTTACGTATACTAATAAAATAAAAAATAATAATAATACAGGAAGATAAAAGGCACTAACGGGATAACAATGTAGAAAGTAATTGTTTAACTTTAAAGAACAACAAAATGTCTTCAGCACCATGGACAGCGACCTAGATAACGCACTGAAGAACTCACCTTAAAGCAACAACGTCAAAAATAATGTGTTGTTTGTCTGTGTTTTAGCCAAAATAATATCAAAAATAGCTGTGTAATTAATACATGATTTGAATTACACATGAGCATTCATATGTGGCTGTTGTTTTATTGCACACTTTATTCATGTGGTAAACAGATCTTCACAGCAACGTTGCAGTATAGCAGAACAGAAGAAAACGCAGTTCTTCAAAATATTTATAGATATTTACACACATACATTCACACACGCACAAAAAACTAAATGTAATGGATGAGTTTCTATTGGTGTAGACTTAAATCCTATGAGGCCAACCCAGGAAACATTCAAGTCACATATCATTGCACTAGAACTGGGTCAGCAAACACATAGGCATAACGGACTGAGTACCAAAAAAGTAAATACTATGAATTGCACCCTTGATACCATTTCAGCAATAAACATTTGAGTAATATCATCAATTGTGTCTGGTCCAGGATCTTGATATAAAAATAGTACCTGAATAACAATGAGTTGCAGTAAAATAACATCATTCATGTAATTGATTTTTAGGGGCATATTTAAAAAAAATAAAAAAAATAAAGGCTTAAAGTATTAGTGTTTTGAATTACAATAACTGTAAACTGTAGCTATCCACAGACCACAATTTGTTTATTAAATGAAATAAATGTGTCAAATATTTTCTTGAGACATATTGTAAGACACCAAATACAATCCCTCTAACCAGGAAAACATAAACATAGAGTAAATAATTTCATAAGGCGAAAGTGACGGCTCTGTTGAACTGTACTTCTTGTATGGGATCAGAAATATTGATATAATGTCATAAACTCATTGTTAAAGCTTAACCATGCGCTCATTTTTGGATATGTCTTTATATTTATAACATTTAAACTCTTTATTTCAAACATGACAGAACACCGCAGTGGCTCTATTTTGTAACAAACAAGATTTGATAAAACAAAATACATCTGTATCTAACAAATACAAAACTTCTGTCGAGCAGTCTTCGGCTAACTTTTCTAAAAAACACCTAAAAGCAAGGTCCACCCAGGCAGTTTTGGAATTCACTGAATTCAGCTTGATTCAAGAAAAATAGGGATTTATTTGGCACAATCCCGAAAATCAAAGTAGCACAGATCTGGTCCATAGTCCGTAGGCCGCTGTCCACTACCTGTAGCCTGGGCTCATGGCTGTGGCCTCAATTAAGTCCTCCTCCACAACGCTAGAGAACCCTTCTTTATCTATGCATCCGTCCAGGACCTGCAGCACCAGGCCCAGGCGCCGGTCCAAAGCCTTCAGGTGCGGTTGGATCAGGACCGGGGACAAGCGGTCCTGCAGCAGAGACTCCTCCATCAGGGAGCTCAGGCTGTAGTCCTCTTTGGCCAACAGCTGAAGGCGCAGATAAGTCGACTTTCGAACTCTGCAAAATGCATTAGACGGTGAGTGACTTCATCAGACATGGGTATGGAGGGAAGTCCTTTTCTTTCTAATTTTTTTTTTGCAGTTTGTAAAGATAAAAAAAAATATAAAAAAACATTACTAAACATCAAATAGAAGCATGGCTGTATGCAGAATTGAGGTCCATGAGATCAGTAACTTTTTTATAGTTTAAATGTGAATTTATGTTTCTGCTCAGTGCTTCATTAATTAATAATAATAATAATAATGCATCGGTTTTATATAGCGCTTTTCTGGACACTCAAAGACGCTTTGTAAAATGTATTTATTCATTTATTTTCATTGTATATTTCAGTTTTTTTTATTATTAAGTGCAGTTTAAGTCTATAAATACGGTGTATACTTATACTTATGTTTTACTTGACAAGGACAACCCACCTGCAGCATTGACTGAGAGGCACCAGAATTGACACCTCGTCATGCGAATGTTTTCCAAACCTTGAAAAACACAACAAAAATAAATATGCAAAAAGAAATTCCTCTTGAAATGGATGTTGTTGCCGACTTACCCTCTCCCATTGTCAAGGTGAATAATGAAAGAGTAGTTTCCAAACTTCTCAAATGTTTCATAATGATGGCGGTCCATGTTACCTATTAAAAATAATTTAAAATCATCAATATTACTGCGTGTCTTTTCCTGCATTTAAACATTATCCCATCTCTTCATACCCATCAAGAAGTCAAAGATGGTCATGTCCATAACATCCAGGAGCCGAGTCCCGCGGTCGTACGGAGGCGTCTGCTTCACTTCATCGCAGTAGTCAGGGTCCACCTCCCATCTGCAGTTCCATAAATTATATTATTAATATACAATTATATCACAACAAAGAAATCATAAATACATACTCAGCCTTCTTGCGTTTGTGATATGATCGTCTCCATGGGTTTCTCCAAGTCTTGCGTTTGGCCAGAGTCAGGTCTGGCAGGAATGCAGCCAGTGAGCCCTCGATCTGGTCTGGTTTACCGCACAGAGCGTGTTCAGTGGAGCAGTAGTACGAACATTCGCCATAGAAGCACACGTTGTTAGCTGTAAGATAAAACACACACTGTAGACTTTTAAGGCTTCTTAATGTTGTAAAAATAAATTCATTATCATCATTTGACTATGAACAGCTGTATGAAGGCGACACTGAAACTGAACTGAATCCCTGTTTAAATCATGGAGCTCTGGTTGTAATCAGTTGTGTGCATACTGCCGCCTAATGGCAGCAGACAGACACTGCAACATTACACAGCCCACTTCCTCAATGAGCAAAAACAAGGAAATTCAACTTTATTTTATGAAGGCCAGATTTTTAAGGGCACTCTTCCCAACAAATTTAAATTACTGATTGGTGTCTTACAAAAGAGTTGTGTAAGTATAAACATTCAACATTGGATAGAGTAATCCAATGTTGAAAGCCTTTATTTTCACTGTAGCACTAGACTTGTATCAGATTTAAAACACAACCAATCGACCTTCTACACAATATCACCATATCACATGTTCATATCTGGTTCAACTCAAAATCAAAACAAAGATTTTTCCTTGCTGTATTCATTCATATTTTTCAGATTGGCTGTGGCCTAATTTTGCACCCAGGCCAAAGAATGTCGGCCTAGAAACTAGTCTCTAGCCACTAGAACAAGCAGGATTCAAAATTGGGCCAGATGTATCAATTTATCATTCATTCCAACAGTAAATGCCTGAGCGTTTGTGGAGCAGTATTTTGGGATAAACTCTTTCTGTGTTTCTTGAATTGAAATAAATGATACTAAATATTTTAAGTCTCTGTCTGTGTCTCACCTGGAGAGATAAAGAATGTCCTCCACAGCTTCTTGTCACGTGTCACATCTCGGATCTCTCTAGTCATGTTGACGAGGCGGCCGGCCACTGGAGGCACTCGGCGGAAATCCAGAATTCTAAAACAAAACAGTGGTTAAGATAAAACCACGGTACAAACTTCAGTCATTCATCAATTTTCAAATTTCTGCTACTGAAGTTAAGCAATTATTAGGATCAACGGCTGATTTTCAATGGAAGAGAAAAGTGACTCAAGTCTTTGCAGGCTCACCAAAAATACATGCATGTGAAAACTACTGTGATAGAGTTGAGATCTATAAAAAATGTAGGTTAGTGTCCTTTGTGATTTGAAAGTTAGGTACTCCAGCTTTAGGCAAAAATACAGTACAGTACTTGCCAACTCAATCCCCAACCTTATCAAACTTTTTTAATATACTTTAATTTATCGTGTCTTTGAAAAGTACATCTCGACATGATCAAAGCAAATTTTCAGTAACATATTAGACACACTTTTTTTGTTTGGCTTTTTCACCCAAAAAGAAAAGTCAATTGAATATATTAAACAAATAATAATACATAATAAATAAAGAGGGCCTGCATGCGTTTGCTTTTGTATTCACATTCAGATATTTTGTCAAACGAATCTACAGCCAGCCATACGGAGAAAAGAAAAGGAGAGAAAGAAAAAACAAAAAAACCTTATCAAACTTCTGATTTCCCCCAGTTTTGTCCACCTCTTTTCTCATGCTCTCATGTCAGAACACTGCACCCATTCACCCCCTGTTTAGCGGGTCCCCCTGGGTGTTTGCTGACCCCGCGCATGGGCCGAAGCTAAGCCTCCTGGGAGTCGCGCGGCCGTACAGCAGACAAGCGGCCGGAGCACAGACACAAGGAGAAACTCTATCCTTCAGAGAGGGGTATTCAAGAGCGGCAAAGTGCACCGTCATGCCGGCTCGGTGACAAAGGACCGCCTGTGTGTGCATGTGCTGCCGTCCACACAGCACCGAGGAGCCGGCGACAGAGGGGAGGATGGAAGAGTCAAGCTACAGAGTCAACTAAGTGGGAGACGTAGGGTAAAAGGGAATTTTAGAGTTTGAATAGCAGGGAGTTAAAGCTGCACTGCAAAAAAAATGATAACATTCAAAGGTGATAAATGCTTAGAATCAAGTGTTTTTAACTTAATTTGAGCACATTTTGTCTTAAAACAAGATTTGCCAATGGAACAAACCGTTGAGTGTGTGCGGATGGGGAAGTCTGGGCGTCTCTGCTTAGACTGCTGCCCCCACGAGCCGGCAATGGATGAAGCGGAAGAAAATGAAAGGATGGATTTCTTGAAATTTCTTGTATCTTTTTAAAACAAGATATTTTGGCTAGTTCCATTGGCAACTCTGGTCAAAATGTACTCAAATTAAGACAAAAACACTTGATTCAAGATTTTTTTTTAAGGTACCCCACATTACAAAAATGTTTAATATTCTTTTGCAGTGAGGGGTACCTACGTTTCAAACCACAACAACGGATCTGTGTATAAAAGCTTCTGACTATTTTCCAGCTCTCATAACAGTCTGCTTCTATCACTAGTTTTCAAACCTGCATGTATTTTTTGTCTATCTTTAGATGTTTATCTTAAGTTTATCTTTAGATGTTTATCTTTAGAATAGCTTTTTCAGTCAGAAAAGTGAAAAAGAGAGGACTGACTTCACTCAGCCAAACAGTTCTCAGCCCAAAGTGTCAAATAGTGACTCTTTCTTACAAGAATACCAAAGATAAGATGTTTTATGATAAGATAAAGCCAGGATTATATGTCTGATTTGTTCACACACAATTTTACGTTTACAAGTCTGTCTGTTGGGACAAACAACATATAATTTATAATAAAGTGTACAGAATATATCTAAAAGAATGTAAATTCACCCTGTACTGTGAGTGTGTAGGAGTATAAGCCACAAAACTAATTTGATGAGATAAATGTCCTTCAAATGTTACAATAAACTGAAACCAATGAAAGAAAATAGAAAATTCTCCATTGCGTCAATATCTCTCGTTCACAAACAAAACACACAACAGATGGCCAGAGATTCAAATACTCAATATATTCAAGGACGTACCGGTCCAAGTGGAAGGCTGCGATCTCTGCATTGTGCCTCTCAAAGTCAGAGAAGTAGAAAAAGTCTGGGGGTGTTTGCTGCTCCCTGGTTTGTCTGAAAAACAGAAGAAACATGTCTTTTTAAAGCATATACGTTATATAATTTTAACTTTACAGACGCATGTGAATCAGTGTCACTTTGAAACTTTGTAATTGTTTTACTGGCAGGAAGAGGATAACCATGTTATTATTTTAACTGCATGAAACGCTAGGAGCCACATCTGTCCCTGTCTTTACACATCACATTGTCTTCCATGATATGTCAGGGGCCTTTAGGGTCTTTTCATCCCACTTTTAGTATAGAGGGATGAAGCCTCACAGTGGATATGACCACCCATGTCCATAACAAATGAAGAACTGAACATTTAGTATCGTAGCTTTATCCGTTCTCATAGATAGATAGATAGATAGATAGATGGATACTTTATTGATACCCTGTAGGAGAAATTCAGGTGTCCAGGAGCATCAAAAATAAAAAATAAAATTGATAATTCTAAAAAAAATGTATGTTTCATGTAATGTGCATGTGAAGCTAGGAAAATTAGATTATTGTTAAAAAATCCATTTACTTCTGTATTTTAAACTTCCACAGTAAAACTAATAAATTATAGACTCATTACATATAGATACACACGATATGTCAAGCCTGTGCGTGTTATAATGTTGGTAATCGGCCCACAGCGTCTACAAACTTGACAAATTTGACCTGGATGATGACACTTATGCATCTATCATATATTGGGTTCACATTATAAGAAAAGTAAAAAAACGAATTGAACAATAGTCTAATTTTCCGACTTTCACCTGTAAAAGTCATTATGATACTTTACGGTAGAGTTTATTTGCTCACAGCGTTTACAAACCTCAAATAAAAGACAATAAACACATTAAAATAGACTGTAAGTGACAATCATCAACATTAAAAAAAGGCTCGACAAATGACACGTGATAGGTCTATATCAGGGGTCTCCAAACTGTAGCCCGGAAGCCACCAGTAGCTCGCCACCGCCTTCCAGGTAGCTCGCCAAAGGATTGAGAAATTAACAAATCAAATATATACTTAATATTTCAGATTGTATTACTTAGTGCACTAGTAACAAATATGCGATGATCAATAATGAATGTACCCAATATCACGCTTGTTCAAACCAATATATCACCACATTTTTTCCCAGGAGCGCTTAAAGGAGAAGCTCTCTCTGCCTTCATCGTCTCGAGAAAGTAGCTCTCTGGGTGAAAAAGGTTGGAGACACCTGGTCTATATCATATATTGGTTTCACGTTTTAAGTTAAATTACATAAGAAAGTAAATTAGTTTCACCTGTACATGTCAATATGATGCTTTCCAGAACAGTTTATTGACCCATGCAGAATTTTCAACATTCCACTGCGAATTCGAGAGCACTTGAGCCACAAGATGTCAGCAGATAAACGCAAAGCAACAAAACAAAGGTTGTGCCACACGTCGCCATTCCCGATACTTTTCCTTCACACCCAACATCACCCCAGCTTTAATGTGTCTCTTTCTATTCCATTCTTTCCACATCGTTGTTTACTGAACATCGGGGTGACGCATTACATTCTCTCCTCACCTGCTCTTTGAAAAGAAATCAACCAGTGACGTCCAAAATAACATGTAGCCTCTTTTCTCTTTGATGTCACAGAAGCAGCATTTACCCATAAATCAATTCGGCTCCATTGTGTGGCAAACCAGCAGAGGGGACTAATAGCGCTCCCATTTTCCGAGTGCATGGAGTGAATAAAAATATGTTTACTCAAAGAGCCAAGGGAATGAAAGCGAGCCAGAGCTTTTGAGGTGACCCGAGGGAGATGTACGGATGTGTAGTGTCGTCTGATAGTTATAATCACCTGCATATAAAGTATAACAGGTCAAAAAAAAGTGTCATGGAGTAGATTTTTTGTTCTTTTCTTTTGTTCTTTTGTTTTATTTTGACTTCTGTTCTCTGTGGTGTCATTTTTAGTTTCACTTCCTGTCCTGTTCCCTTGTTTGATTGGCTGCCCCGCCCTAATGTGTTTCATCTGTGATGAATGATAGTTTAGTCATTGCCTATGGGCAATTTTTCCGAGTATAATACATAATGCCAATGACAAGTTCTTCACATGCTCAAAAAACATTAATTAATAACAACCTTTTTTAATTTGTTTTTGTTTTTGCATATGATCAAATATGCAAGTTGAATTTATTGCATGTGCTTCAACAGATGTTCAAATAAATAAATAAACAAATAAATACATACATAAAAAATAAATAAATAAATACAAAAATAAAACAAATAAAAAATCATAAAATTATAATTTTTCAACAAAAGAACTATGTAATAAAATCCATAGAACTATACTTCCTTGTAACTATACATGTATCTATACCTCCTTGCTCTCAACTACTACTTTTTCTACATGCATGTATTATTATATTTGTATTTGTGTCACATCTCTAGACCAGTCCTCACTCAGCCAATCAGCTCTCAGTATATGTATACTATGTTTTTTATGTTTTCAATGCACCACATGCCATAGTATTATTAAAAAAATATAATTATAATGCAAAAATACAAAAAAACCAATTACATTTGTAATTGCGGTGAAATAGGGACCATCAATTGATAACTATTGCTGTTTTTTTGTTTGAATCAACCAGATACTGATGATGATGGCAAAAATCATTAATGGCATATGAAACACAAGCTTTTTCTTTCAGCCTTCCCCTTTTGAGCTTTGTGAAGAATCCATCTATCTGTTTAGAAATGCGACTGGTGCATTGTGGCAGTTGTTTGATGCGTTCTGCTGCTCGGTCTGAAGCAGGGTTTGTGAGGAGGCTGAGCGGATAAGAGCAGCTGAATCCTGGTTCTTTGTGTCACTGTGACGGTACACGGCGGTGACAGGGCCGAGCAGCAACAGGAGAACTACTTCAGTGCCACTGTCGGCCGCCAAATGACGAGAGGAGATAAGGTTCGACTGGGGAGAGCCACAGATTTCAGCTCTGATTAAAAAGATCTACCCAGGGACTCAGCCAACAGAGCCGCGGAATGGCAAAAAGAAACAAAGTCGTGCTGTGAAATTGTAATCACATTTCAAACAGAAGCTGCAGCCATCGACGTCTGGGCAGCGAGATATTCCTACAACCTCAATGCAATCAACTGTTCTGTAATGACACTTTTGTAATAATATCATAATATCTACATTTGCAGATATGTTTAATCCTTGCATTGTAAAAGTGTAATGTGAAAGTCTGATACAGAATGATGAACGTTTTATGCCAACTTTAAAAACAGTATTTTAGGTCCAAGTGAAGCAACTGAGGCTTAGGAACCAAGTTATTTAGTAGAGTTAAGTATAGAGCTTTGTTCATTTACCTAGTGCTGTGTGCTCATTCCTACTGTTGTGTAACTGGCGATGCAATACTGAAATTTCCCCACTGTGGGACGAATAAAGGATCTCTTAATTTCTCAGTTTAATTGAATCGAAATTGCAGTTTGAATAGTTTTGATCTGCTTCTATTAAAATTAGTTATCTGAAATATTCCCTACAGACAAAGTAAAACATCAAATATACCTCATTTATGAAGTAAAATAGCCAGCCCTGAATATGTATTTCTTTGTTTGCTATATGTAAGAAATGAAGAAATGGACACAACAGACTGTTTTGGTAAATGGTTTGAAGAAGCAACACAAAGCTAATAAATGGGGTCATCCATCCAACCATCCATTTTCTTCCCCTTAATCCATTTCTGGGTCGGGGGGTGGCAGTCAGAGATGCACCCAGTACACAGAGCACCGGCCCCTCACTGATCCTCCTGCAGGTGGTGAGTCCACAGGAGCTAAATGGGGTCAATGATGCAAAATTAAGACTTGCAGAACAGAGATTATGGGCAAGATAACCAAGTAAAAGTACTTAGAATAAATAGACATAATAGCAATTTGACAAGGCAAACTAAAATGTATTGTAGTTTGTAAATTCTTTATACTGATGTTCTGTCCAAACTAATTCTTCAAGACCATGTGAACTCAACTGAACCTGAAAGTATTTCAGAATCCGTATTTGTTCGTGTATCGTTGTGTAAATGCATCTTTGTGTCTGTGTATTGTGTAAAAAGGTTGATCACTTTTTGATTACAGGTCTGAACACTGTAGTGATGACACCTCCAGACGCTCAGAGCCACAGACGAGAGATCAGAAGATTAAACACTTAGGGGCTGATGAGTGATGCCTCTTATAAAAGGAACACACAAACACATACAAAGTATTAAGTGTTGTGTTTTTCGCACCATTTAAATTGTTTGTGGTTGTTTTATCTGTGATACTGTATGTTATGTCATTGCCCAACTAGGGGCCGACAGTGGGAAGTGGCCCAGGCTACAATGTTGTTTGTGATATAGGTTTGTCCATCTTTAGTTGTTTAGTCAATTCATGGGTTGATGTTTTTTTTAGTTAACCAAATGTTGTATTCATTATTAGTTTTTTATTTAAAAGAATGTATATGTGAAAATAAAAATATACAACTTTTTGGTACTTAATTTGATATTCAACAACAAACACTCAATTCACTTACTGTATTTTATCAGTATATTTATTGCTAAATATTGTAGTTATTTTACCCTTAAATGTATGTTTGTGACTTTAGTTTGGGCCAAATACATAATAATTTGTGAGCCATTCAGACTCATTATTATTACTGACTTATATTGTTATGAATGCTTTCTGCTATATGCTTTTATATTCACTAGACTGCAGCGTGTTTGAGCTGCTTTAGCGTTCTCTCCTGTACTTCTTGCGGCGTCACTATTGGAGACAGATCTGAAACTCAGCTTTGGCCTGGGGGAAGCTGCGTCTAGATTGGATTTCAAATCGATGTTACGCAAGTTGTCTTCCAGCCTCACGCTTACAACACAGAGCGGTGCCAAGAGGAGGAGACCGGCCACCAGCCAGAGCGGACGGGGAAGATTCACATTTTCAGGTGATATTTGTACTTTAGATAAACCTCGGTACAATTGTTGGTTCTGAGATGTATTATGAAAACCTATTTATTTATTTAGAAG